CCACATGCTCCTTACAACCTGTTGTCCTCCCACAGTACATGTTGCAGCGCACCCAGGACCCGGATGAGAACGTGGCTCTGGAGGCCTGCGAGTTCTGGCTGACTTTAGCTGAACAGCCCATCTGTAAGGAGGCCCTTTCCGGCCACCTGGTCCAGTAAGTGCTCCCATTCCTACACGGTTTGGGACTGAACCAAACGATTCAAGTACATATCACTGCAGACTGCAGGAAGCCAAGGATGGATATCTGACTCCGCCCACATCCAAGTCGGCCATTTTGATTAGGTCACCAACAGGAAGATCCCAGGCAAGAAAATCCTAATTGCTTCATGGCAATATAGACATTAATTTAAAAATAGTTAAATGAATCTTGCAAACACTGAATTAAACTCTATACATAATATTATGTTAAAATAGTGGATGTTAAATAGGTTTGTACAATAAGTCCAAACAAGTTTACCAAAAAATATTTATTTCTCAAAATTATGAAGGCTGGAGGGTCAGGGTTAGGTTTAGGACATCGTTCCTCCTCCGATTTCTTATATAGAGTAAAGTTTTGTTTCCACCTCAGAAAGCTCCTAGTCACATGACCTAATAAAAATGTCCGACTTGGATGTGGGAGGAGTTGGATATCCAACCGAGGCTCCCTACAGGCTGCAGCCAGACGCAACTCAAACGATTTAATCTGACTTGCCCTTTTTTTCCCCTCAGATTAATTCCTATTCTCGTAAATGGGATGAAATACTCTGAGATAGACATTATCCTCCTGAAGGTGAGCAGAAACTCCTCAGACGGCCCTCCTCTCGCTCAGAGGTCCCTTTGGCTGTTTCTACCTGAGTCATTCTCTCCTTTTACCTCCAGGGAGATGTTGAGGAGGACGAGGCGATTCCGGACAGTGAGCAGGACATCAAACCCCGCTTCCACAAGTCTCGCACCGTCACCCTGCAGCATGAGGGGGGGGAGGGGGAGGAAGGGGAGGACATCGACGAAGACGAGGATGATGATGACGACACTCTGTCCGACTGGAACCTGCGTAAGAATCAGACTTTTAGCTTTTTTAACATTTTTTATTAACACAACAAACCTACAGACAACAAACTTAACATTGTAACATGTACTTTTACACACTTACTTTCACTCATGCACTCACCATTTAAACCTGCATTTATTTAGATACAAAAATGTACAAAACCCTTTAGATTAAGACAGAGAAAAGTAACAAGGCAATATATGAATAGAAACTTTAGTCAAGACACCCATTGATGAGCTCCACCTTAATTCCCTATTATCCTCATATATGGCTACCATAGCTTCTCAAAGTCCCGTTCATTACTCTTGGCAATGTATGTTAGTATTTCCAGAGTCCCATGGGAATTCAGATAGACACCTAATAACGTCCTTCCAAAACTTTATTAGGTTTTTAAAAAAAAAGTTGTGGCTGCTCGGTATAAATAGTCTCCAGTCCATCCATCCATCCATTCCATCAAACGACAGAAATGTCAACTAGGGAATATTTAAGAGTGTATGACGGTGGATGTTTTGTCACATGATTATTTTATATTAAAAGCTGACATAGATTTCACAACTCAGGTTTAGACAATTGAACAGGCTGGATCGAGGACTTTTTTCTTCTTTTGGAAAAGTACTTCTTGTAGAAAAGACCCCAGCAGGGGAATTTCAACATGTCAGATATCTTTTAATATTGGTCTCGAGAATAATGTGCACTTTCACATTGTCGATATGGTTCGTTGTCGATGTTTAATAAAAAGAAAAAGAAGAAGATAGAATCTCTTCCTTAAGAGTTGATCTTTTTCTCTTAACCTTCTGTTTGTGTTTTATCTTCAGTCATGTTTCCGGGGATTGTTGTTGGTTTTTAAAGTGGCCGCTGATTCTTCCTTACAGGAAAGTGTTCGGCTGCTGCTCTGGACGTTCTGGCCAACGTGTTTCGTGAGGAGCTGCTGCCCCACCTTCTGCCCTTGCTTAAGGGCCTACTTTTCCATCCCGACTGGGTCATCAAAGAGTCGGGCATCTTAGTACTGGGGGCGATCGCTGAGGGTGAGGATGCACACTAAGAAAAACAACACAGTAGAACCTCTATATAGAAATTTAACTCGTTCCAGGACCGACTTCGTATGGTAAAATATTCGTATGTCGATTGAAATATTCCCATCAGAATTCACTGTAATTCCTATAATTCATTCCAAAAACCTGCGATAACTCCTTAATAAATACTGCAGATAATTACACATAGCAATAAAACAAATGCATTTTATAAGAGAGATGTAAAAAGGAATAACTTGTAAAGAAAAAATCTATAAAAAGGGGTTTTATTGGCACTTTACCTCAGAGACTGTGAACGGAGGTAGAGGTGGAGACTGAGATACAGGCCTTTGACTTTAAACTAACTTAGCTTATTAAATTGTTATATATTTATTTTTCTATGACTTCGACGTAATATATGTTGGAAATTTACTTAATAATCAATAAAAAGTTTTTTTTTATTGGCGAATGGAGGTAGAGGTGGAGACTGAGGTACAGGACGAACTGTAACTTACTCTAACTTTCACTGCGTTGACTTTAAACTAACTTAGCTTATTTATTTGTATTTAATTTTGATATTTTATATATATTTTTCTATTCCTTCGATATTTATTTTGCGTGTCAAGTCGAATATTTGATCAAATTTCACTTTTGATGTTGGATAATTCGTATCTTTAGGCCTCGTTAGTAGATGTTCTGCTGTATTTTAAATTGAGTTTTTCCGTATTAATCAAACTTAACCTGTGTGTGCTGGTTCCAGGCTGCATGCAGGGCATGGTCCCCTACCTGCCCGAGCTCATCCCCCACCTCATCCAGTGCCTGTGCGACAAGAAGGCCCTGGTCCGCTCCATCGCCTGCTGGACGCTGAGCCGCTATGCCCACTGGGTGGTCAGTCAGCCTCCGGACGCCCACCTGAAGCCGCTCATGACCGAGCTGCTCAAACGCATCCTGGACGGAAACAAGAGGGTGCAGGAGGCGGCCTGCAGCGCGTTCGCCACGCTGGAGGAGGAGGCGTGCACGGAGCTGGTGCCCTACCTGAGCTTCATCCTGGACACGCTGGT